TACAACGGGGCAAGTACGTGAAGAGCGAGGTAGTGGAATTTCCCGAGGCAAATCATCGCACACTTCATGTGCGAGAAGGTAAGGTGCACGAACGCACCAAGAAAGCGTTCTCACATTGTGTTGGGTGCGTATAATTTCATCTTACGCTTCACTTTCATAATTACTATGTTCAGCTTCGGAGAAGAAGTACCATGTCGAGCGACCTGGACATCGAACACCGTAATATCAGATAACAGTCCCGCAACTGTCTTCGTATTCAAGTATACGCGCTTAGGTACTAGATCATTGTATTTTCTACGTCAATCCGCAACTCATACCGATTTATTTAGACATCTTGCAGGCAATGGGCATAGCACCACGGACGCCAAGGACACCAGCCGAGGACAAGACACAGAATTATGATGATGATGTTGAAATAAGTGATGGACCTAATGGGCATGACCCTTCAGAGGATGTGAAGCCCCGAATTCAAGAGCTCGAGGTGAATTCTCGCTTTGGCAACATCCTTCCCTCCCTCCAGCTCATTCTTTTCTCGCAGATGGAGCTCCAGCGTTTACGTGGACAATTACCCTCATCTGAGGACCGGAAGCCCTCGCGTGTTAAGTTGGAACGTAGGGTCTCGCGACGGCAACACGCCGCTATTGAGGTCATCGATTTGACCGAGGATTAGCTTCGGTCTGTCCTCGCTTGTGTTCTGACTTATATGTCACCATTCTGACTAGCTACGCTAGTCGCTCATATTAATACTTTGTTAGTATACATATATGCTGTCAGTACACGTTTAAGCCCCTCCCATCCCAAGTTGTAGATTCTTCACGATATCAATACTAATGAACTCGGGTTGATTATCTGTTATTATTGAGTGCTGACAAGTGCGTCGTCATGTTGTCACTGGAGCGTTCATCTCTTTTTCTCCGCTGACAGCGCTATCCACACATCCGGCGAGACTTCTCTGTATGGGACCTGGGTGGCGGTTGATATAAACGAGCTCAAAGAATTCGGTTTCGCCGTCTTTCCTTCGAGACCGTGACAGGAGGCTACGTGCCATTGGATTGTATCTGAGGGAGGAAAGGTATTTCCTCGCATTTTTTTGGATTCTAGATGACCGTGACCTACAGGAATTCGCAGTGACGTTGAAATGTCGGACAGTTGTTCACGATTATACGAACCCAGGCACTGGTCGTCGATGGAGTGCACTGATGTCGACGTATCGTCGCTTGATTATGTTTCCGGACACCTTTGCAAGGTACCAGGACACTGACTCGGAAGCGCGCATATATTTATTATTGGTGATGCCACCGGTACCCGCAACTTTGTATTTGCTCGAACTGGTACTATGTGCCGACTTGCTATATGTTCTATCTGTCTCTAGACCCTCGTGACGCTGGGCGATGTTCAGATGATGACTCCTGCCTGGACATCCTACGGTCTCGAGGAAATTATCACACATAGAACGACGAAAAGTCTCCGCATGACGAGTTATTGAAGCTGCCCGAGTCTAGTAAAATATAGAAACAAAGGAAGAAAGCAATGTGTCCGGTTGTATCGCGTGAGTAAGCCCCGGCCTGAGTTCATCATAACTGCAACTTTAGATAATATTGGTACCAAAAGTACATCACGTTATGTTTTCAAAGACAAGGGCAAACCTCCTACCGAATACATCTTCAAATATGCGTTAAGCACGCCCCCGCGAAGGCCGCCTACCATGACTAAACACTAGATAGATCTGCACAACGGGATAACACGGTCCTCTACGGTTATTAATCAGAAGCGCTTCCTGCCTACGAGAGAACCGGAAGGCAGTCGCTTTGAAAGTGTGCCGGAGAGGATTCAGAACCTTGAAGTGAGCTGATTTTGCCATTACCTAACGAGTGCATAATGAACTGAAACACCGGCGTCAAGAAGCGTGGACTCAAAAGCCCATGCAAATCAAGTTAGAGGGACTCTGACCATCCTTATAAGCGGGTTGCTTTTCTCCCGTCGAAGCTATTGGCCTAACATAAATGCGGCCTCGGATAAATCCCACTGGCGGCCCGGCGGGTACTTATTCTGTTCATTGAATATACGAACATGACCTCATTCCACTCGAGTTTTAGATGAGATCTTGTAGATAACTGTGTCATTTTCTTTCGATTCCTCGAATTCTATGATTATTTAATTTGCGTTCCATATGACTGGTGGACCATGGACAAGGAAGTACCTGCCGGTCAGCGTCACATCGCATGTCACCACTTGTGGTTGAAACGTCACATGAAGACATACATTGATTCTCCCAGTACCTTCCTGGTGTTCTCTGAAGTGGTGAAGTGGCGCAGAACTCTCGGGAAGGGGGCCTAAAGGAGTAATGGAATCCATGCGTCATTTGGCTCATCTGTCATCACATAGCTGAGAAAGCAGAAATATGTGTGTCACATATTCTCGAGAAATTTGGACTTTAGCCAGCGTGTTGCTCGGAGTTTACTGGCGCTTTATCGAAGCGACAGTGGTGATAGACGTTTGCGTCGAGTCTCGGCCGCCGCCCCATCTACCTCAACTCCTCGGACTTTATTGACACAGAGGAGTACGTAAGTGACCGTGATTCACGCAGAGACCCACCCCTCGTGTTGTCGATCCAAAAATGATCCGAATCGTCCGATAACACATGATTATCCGCTGCAAACCTGCTGTAGCTCAGATTTTGTCTTTCTCCTCCTTGGAAAACTGGGAACATTTCATTGCGCAGTTTACGGCTCGATCGTCTGACTCGGACACTAAGGGGAAACTCACTGATCCGGAGGGCGTTGAAAGTTGGTGGTCCGTTGCATCGGATATGTGAATCGTCAACTCCTATGTGCCGTTCCTCACGTGTTATGGATTTAGGTGAGCATGTCAGGCGTGCATCACTGTTTACCGTGGGTGAAATCACCGAAATGTTAAGTCAACACATCGTGACATACTTTTGTGAATGGCCTAGAATGACATACTCACATTAAAAACTATTTTGTGGGGCCTGTGCTCATTTGAGCAGTTCCGACAGCACTAGAAAGTAACCAGACCGGGAAATGAGTTCATCAAATTCGAAGATCAAACACTGCAAGAAGCTGTGACCATTTCCAAGATGCGAACCGCGAGGATGGTCCGAGCTAAAGCCACTTAGAGGTACCTAGAAGTACGAATCCACAAGCGCTCTGATGCTTAGTACCAGACAGTAATCACTGGAGAAGGCAACGTTACCCGTCAGTCTGCCGCAGTGAAGGTTTGTTCTTCCCTCAACAGCATGCTAGACTCGAATCAGCAGGAAAGAAATTTGAGTTGGATAATGTCACGTGACGTGAACGCGCTCCATGGTGCCGCTGAGTTCCAAATTTAATTAGTGGTTAAAGCCAAGTTAGAGCACGCGTTACTCCTTGCACGCCTTCCTGTACCTGGCTAAGCGCGTGTACATCGATTGAAAGCTATCCACGTCATCATTTCTCCTTTCCTTCAATGCTATCCTACGGGACGCTACGAGCGTGCATCAGGGTCGATGGTCGAGCTTTGGAGAGCTATGGAATTGAGACGTTTCCAGAAGAAAATAAAGTGACCTGCTGGATTGCATCGGAAGCAGGAAAGGTGTGTACTTGGTGAATCCCGCACATGCGGCGACCTCAAACGCCGCCTCCTATGATTCCTGCAGACGTTCTCTGTGGTATGGCAAGATACCAATCCTGCACGCCAGTACCACCAAACCGGAGATGTGACACTCGATGGTATATACGGAGGGGGGCAACTGATGCGTGCTTTAAACCTCAATGAGCCAGCAACATATCAGAGATGTACTACGGAATTCAAACACGTCAGCACGTCGATGAATTCCATTTGTCCGCTTACCTTCTCGAAGCTTCAGCTGACGGGTCAGTTTCATCTGGTGCAACTATCAGACTACAGCAATGGGCTCACATACTTACAGATGAAGATCAACACCTGAATTCTGCACATGCTGGGCTCGGAGAAATTTCCTTGGCCATCTGGCCTGTGAATGTGATAGGCATGGGTTACCAAAGAAATCTAGTACCCACTAAGGGAACGATGGTTCATGAACGATCGAAGAAGGCCTCCAGTCACTGTGTGGGGTGCGTAGTTTACTCCATCTCTTCACTCAAGTCACAAACGATCTTAGGTTCGGAGAGGAGATCCGCGTTCCACCGCAGCAGGTAATTAACGTGGCACGCATGGGGATAACCCCAACGGCTACATTTATCTTCAGGTACAGGCCATTTGGTTCGTGTGCACAAAACAATCGGTGATTATACTCTGGCACTCATATATCCTTACTAGATCGACTCGTGGCAGATGGCATTGCCCCACCGCTCTTGCAACCTTTTCGGGGAATCAAGCGTGAAGCTCCTGTAGAGATACCAGAGTCGGAAGAACACAAGGATGTGGCAGACTCGGCCAAAGATGACGAAGCTTTGCGCGAGCTTGATGCGTTGAAAGTCAGAGCTTTTCTTGTTATGTGCCTATAAGAACTCTGAAACTCTCTCTATGAAGGCACAGGTGAAAAAGCTCGAGGAAAGAATATCTACTAGCCGCGGTGCCAAGAGGGTAAAAATAGAGTCCAAGGACATCATTGATCCGGCGCGGAGTCAGTGACACGCTGAGGAAAACCTAATACCTTATGCAGGTATGTTTAGAGTGTCTCTCCTATAGACTGACCGCTGAAAGCACAAGCGCACACAGCGTAAATCCGACCTACGTCTTTCTTTTGGACTCTCACTTTGTCACATTCACATTCACACTGGCATGAGAAAACACGCGCATTGAGGTTTGATTGTCTTCCGCTCTATCCATATTTCTGCCAACCACAAGGAAATGCTGTAGAGTGTTGGATAGCCTTGCATCCTCGCTCATTTCCGTATCTACCTGTCAGTCAAACAATCCCTTGCATTGGCGTCAACTATCCCTCCATCGTGCTCCAACCACACTTCAATCTTGAACAATTGGCTGTTGTTCGCTTTCTTGATAGGTACGTTCTTGCAGAATATCTGATCTCTTGCTGACCAGACCCTGACGAGCAGTTTAATAGTTTGATTGCATGCATTGATGATTCTTAATCCTTGATCGACTTTTAATGGCCAGAGAACACGGGCCGCTTGTCCAAACGCCGCCTCCACTTCCGCTTTTCAGATTCACTCTACGTACCTCAACTCAAGGTATCATGATGTACCGTGTTCCGATAATTCTCCTACTTTTTTGTGCTTTCCTATACTTAGATATCCATACTGAACGTGATTCTAATTAGCCGAGAAATGATGATGACTTTTGCGTTGTTTGACCTTGCTTGATCACAGCCCCAGCACTCAGCGTCCCTCGGAAATGAGGCAAACGTTATTTCTTAAAGGAAATGTGCTTCCATGTGCAAGGGAAGGTGGGCTCGGCTGTGCACCTTGTGTTTTTCACTGATGTGGTCTAGTCTGGTCTCCAGGCGCATCCAGGGACCACTCGCTGGACCATACGTGAAACTTCCGGCGTCCAAGTTGCCAGCCTCGAGGTTGGCGTTAATCCTGTACGTACCTTTAATTCCTTCTATGACGAAGTTCCACATAGGATAAACTGGTGGAGCGGGTGAGGGGCTTTCCTGTGCAAGGAATTTCCTTCCATTGCAGTCTGTGCGGCCCTAAAATGTCACGAAATGGCGTAACAGCCTCATGGCTAGTGACTATATAGCGGACACAATTCCTCCCATCTAACGAAATACCCTCCTGTCTCTCTTCGGAGTCACGTTATGAGCGAAATGACTGCAAGTACAATGCTCCAATCTTCCATGCCTCGTGTTCACAGTTTACTCATCAACATTATGCAGCAAAGCACGAACAACAGGCACTCCGGACATAGCCGTCGAAGATCAAGGCTTCTCGATAAAGCTATGCAATTTTTATCGCGCCTAGACGGGCGAGGGCCTCATGCAACACACGAGGTGTCCCTAAACTCTTCATTCCATTCGCTTCCGTTATGTCAGGTAAGCTGTGAAAATGAGTATAAAGGGCTGCGTTCAATGCTTTATCTTCGCCAGGAACGCAACCTTTCCACCCATTCAACACTTGACATGCCAGACCAACAACTCGCGCTCGTTATCCCATCCAAGCAAGCGTCATTTGAAGTCACTGGCCGCAAGATACCCCAGCCAGGCCCTGGTGAAGTCCTCGTCAAACTTCAGGCTACTGCGCTCAACCCCTTCGATGCGAAAATCCACAAGGATGGTACATTCGTCGACAGCTATCCTGCGGTGCTGGGTACCGATGGTGCCGGCACCGTAGAAGAAGTCGGAGAAGGTGTTACAAAATTTGATCCAGGAGAAAGAATGTATGCCATCTCACTTCCACGATAGTGATGCTGTAAGATTGATCGTTTACTTCGGGATCTAGATTCTTCCATGGTGCCTTTGACGATAACGATTTGGCAACATTCCAGCAGTATTGCGTGGTCACGACTGATTTCGCAGCTAAGGCAAGTTAATCCCCGTGTTTGCGTGGCCGAGACTCGTGCTGATCGAGGTGACTCAGGTCCCGAGAAGCTTATCGCTCGACCAGGCGTGTACCATTGCATGCGGAATGGGCACAGCCGCAATCGGGATGTACGGTACCTACCAACGGTATCGGTCTCATACCGCCTTGGGAGCGCGGTGGGTGGTCCAAGTACAAAAATTGGCCCATCTTGATCTTCGGTGGTGCTGGCTCAGGTCGGCAACTACGGTAAGCTTCCTAGCTCATTGCCGCAGCGAAGTCTATCTTACTTAAGCGTCACTGGCTGCTAGTTATCCAACTCGCGAAGATGTCAGGCTTCTCACCCATAATTACCACTTCCTCGCTGAGGCATACGGAACATCTGAAGAGCATTGGTGCAACCCACGTCATAGACAGATATCTTTCCCTGCCGGCACTGAAGCAGGCCGTGATGAAAATCACGGGCTCTCGCATACATATCATGTACGACTCCATATCTATCAAGGAGACGCAGGAAGCCGCCTGGTCGTTGCTTGCGCCTGGGGGGAAGCTCGTTGTCACGCAGCCATCCCTGATCAGCAAGGATAGCAACGACTTCACTGGCAGGCATGTGGTTCCCGTAGACGGAAGCCCGCAATCGGATGAGAACTGGGAAACGGGGAAGAGGCTGTGGGCTCATCTTGAGAGATGGGTGGAAGAGGGTCACATACGAGTAAGTATTTATCAGAATCTTACTTCTGGGTATCTTCTAACGTTGTCTCAGCCAAATCCACGTCGAACTATTACATGGCGGGCTACATGCAATACCAGAAGCGCTCGCGAGATTTAACGCAGGGAAGGTAGACGGGGTAAAAATGGTAGTTCGCCCGCAAGATACGTGAGCGATTACACGATCAACAATGATACAGGGTGGCGCCCGCCCAAGAAGGGAAGCGTCACCCATCCAGTACACGGTGTAGAGGAGGCTCGTTACCGCTTTCGGGGGTGAAGATGGTAGTTCGCGAACGATCAC